AACTAATACAATTTTTGGAAACTGTTTTAATCTGAAACTGGGTGCAGCCCTGTGGAGGCCATTTGTGAAGCTATAGAGATCATTTTTTGCTCCACCTTCCTCAAGTGATTTCTCTCCATATGAGGCACACTGATATTGTTCACTCTGGTGGTCTCTTAATCTGGGTGTACCACCACATGTTATGCTCTTTTTGCTTGGTACATACACTATATTTCCAAAAGTATCCAGAGTTTAATATTCTATTAGTGAATTCAGCTGGCACAGTTTAATTGCACACACAGCTTGTATACTCTCTATAGAAAAGCCCTGACCAGAGTATAGAATGGGATGCTCTGGAGCAGCTGCACATAAGCCTGAGGTTACAGAGCCCAATGACAAGCTTTGGCTAGAGGGGAGCTCCACCGAATACCTTTGGGATGAGATGAAGTGATCCAGAACCCCAACCTCACTAATGCTCTTGTGCTCCAACATCTAGTGTAAAACCTTCCCAGAAGAGTGGAAGCTGTTACTACAGCAAAGAGGAACAAACACCCTGTTTTGTTACTTTAGATACTTAAAAATAAATAACATTAAAGAAAAATAAGAAGCTAAAAACATCATAAGTAGTCTAAAAGATCTGTGCGCTCTCATTGGCTGAAGCAGCAGGTGCTTGGCAACTTTCTGGTGGGCCAAATCCCACTTTGGACAGCCCTGCTTTAGAAGCAATCATTCCACACCCACAGTGAAATATGCAGAAATTATGTTTTGGACTGTTTATTTAAATGACCCAGCAAGAAGCTGAATCAGCTGTGCTTCTAAATGGAGCAAAAGTTTGTACTCATTTGTTGCCTTTGTGGAAAAGACTGGGGAGCACTCAGCCCTGCTCAGGTTAACAGTAGAGAGAAACCTCCCTGAACCTCAGTCCCTCTGTGTGTGCAGGGAGAAGGCTAATGAGCTGTGGCAGTGGATGATGGAGCTGGAGGCGGAGAAGTTTGATCTGTCTGATAAACTGAAACGACAGAAGTATGATGTAAGAGAGAACATGGCATTGAAACACACACACACACACACACACATACACGCACACAGACACACAAAACACGCTGTTTATGTCTTCAGAAATCTGAGTTTGGTGTATAAAGCCTGTTTTCATCATGCGTGAGTGAACTTCATAGGATAGCAGCAGATGTAATGTAGCCCAGAGCATTTGCTAAAGCCAGTCTGGCCAAACTGCACAAATGAAGGCAATATGCCTCTTAGGAGGGCCTTGAGCTCAGGATAGGATCCTCAGGTTACAAGTGAGTGATTCTTTTGACTTGCAGCCTTTAAATGACGAAAATAATACAGCAGAGTAAATTGACCAGTGATCATTCACATATTCAGGTTATATGCAAAAGAGTAAAATTAGGATTTGAGCTTTGAAGATACTCACTTTATGTTAGTAGCCAGGCTATTTCAGTGTCTTGGGGCAGTAACTGCAAACACTGTCACCTTTTAGCTTTGACCAAGATGGAGGAACAGTCAAAAGCAGGCCTAATCAGAAGGCCTCAAAGATCTATAGGCCATGTATAGCCTGTCTATTGTAGCACGTCTCTGCTAGTGCTTAGCTTCTGGTTGTCTTTCTCTCACAGATCACCCAGCTCCTTGTTCGGGTTCAGGACCACCAAAGGTAAGAGTGTAGTACAAAAAAGACATGCCAGTGTTTCTTTCTCTGGAGGAACCAAAACGTTTGCACAATTTAATTTGCCTTAACTTACATTCTTGTTTTTCTTGTGTTTTATCTTTTTTTCTTGAGATCCACTTATAATGTTTATGTAGGTTTTGTACCATCATTTTTCCATGACTATTTTGCATCCTCTCTTTATCCCTTACAACTAAACGGGTTGTTTTTGTTACTGTACCTTTGAAGGGGAATTCTACCAATTGTGCGAAATTTCTGAATTTCATGAGATGTAAGCAAAGTAATTCAGAGTGGGTTGATGTGACATTGTTCATTGTAGACAAACTTACAGACTCTATAAACACAAATATAGCCATTTTATTTACTATCCAAAAACCACCACATACGTTTTCTTTGCCTTACAACACCCTACTACAGAACTATCATAAAACAATGTGTCAGACATCAGGAAACATCTATCTAACCATTTACATCTGTATTGCAAACAGTGACAAGTGCATGCTATCAAGGTTCATAGACTTTTAATTTTTACATTTTATTTGAACATTATATTGTTTTGGTATTTTAAGTGCTTAGAAACAACAAAAATAAAATAAAAAATAAGAAGCTGTGTGTCAGACATCAGGCAGCATATGTAGTAATGTATTAACTTTCTGTGAGGGAGCTGTCAGAGGCATCAAACAGTTCAGACGTTTGGTTCCTATCATAACCACTTTGAACAATTCTGGATCAGCAAGTTTCTCTAGACCGGAGCGTTTCACATCAAACCACTCTGAATGGTCACATCTCAACCGTTTATTTATGTAGAATTTTTGAAAAATTGGTGGAGTTCCCCTGTTTGCAGGCAGTATTTGTGTACTTTCTGACTGCCCTCTCTGGCTCTTTTTTTTGCAGTGCAAAGGGACGTGGCAAGGGCAAAGTGGGCGGCAGGCTGAGGTAGAAGTGCTGACCGCTACAATGGGCAAAAACTCAGAGATGGAAAAGTTCTGGCTTTGTGCACACAGCCTTTTGTGTTTTGTCCCTGTCATTAAAAATTATGCAACTGAATGTGTGAGAATTCGCTGTACATTTCTGCTTGACGTTTTTCTGTCATTTGACCTTATGAATAAAGAATAGCTTAGTCTTTTTGTCGTAGGCTTGTCATGAATGATTATAATCTTTATGAATGCTAAAGAAAAAATCCAATTCCCTTTTTTACAAAAAAATGTTTACCTCAGGCAGAAGACACAAAAAATATGATGCAGTAAGTTTTTAAATAAGGTCCTAAAAATGTATGTTTAGTTACTCACTATCTGTTTATCAGCCCCCCTTTACCCCATCCATCAGCAAAAAGGGCCTTTATTTTTGGGTTGCAGTCTGCTCTAAAGCCAGTGGTGACACTAACATGTATAAAACCCACAGCAACACTGCTGTATCTGTATTTTCATACCAGTGTAACCCACTACACTGCTACTACTATCACTCCTGTGCTGAGGATTTACGAGCCAAATAAAGGTCTGGTCAGCAGTGGTCCTATTGTGGTCATTTACCATTGATAGAAAGGATCAAAAGGTGCTGATAACCAATAGATGGGCTACAGTCAGTAACTGTAAAACTAAGCTTACCAAAACTCACCAAAAATTCCTTTTGTACTAATTGGTTACACATTTCTTGCCTTAAAGGGACTATTCACTGATTTTACATAACAAAATACATGGCCTCGGTCATCAAAACATTTCTGACCCAATTTAAATCCACCCTGTGGGTCATGAAGTTATGGAAGCCTGTATTTGCCAAAATATATACATATATAGCCATTTAGTAAGTTGTAATAATGAGAAGGTCTTTCATAATAATGGCTTAGTATCTCATAATGAAATAATTATGACTACAATCTCATTACTATGAGATACTATTTCATTATTATGAGTCTTATAATTATTTCATAATTATGACTGTCTCATAATGACTTAGTGTCTCATAATAATGAGCAAATTCTCATAATTAGGAGAAAGTCATTATTATGAGATATTAAGTCAGAAATAAGAGATTGAATATTATAATTATGAAATAACAAGTCATAATTTTTTCCAGTGGCGGAAAAGGGCTTTAATAAGAAATAGACTTGGTGACCTGAATGAAGAAGGTTTAGCTTCAAACGACAAGAGGCAGAGCGCGCACACACACACACACACACACACACACACACACACACATTTTCCAAGCCGCTTATCCTTCTGGGTCGGGGGGAAGCTGGAGCTTATCCCAGCGGTCACTGGGCAGAAGGCAGGATACACCCTGGACAGGTCAACAGTCTATCGCAGGTGAGGCAGAGCAGTAATTTTTAAGGGACGCTCACAGATGGCTTTAAGTGCTGTCCTATACAGAATTCCTGAAGAACAATATCTGGAACATTACAGCTTCCTGGGTGCTTACAGAAATCTCACTGAACATGGTGGAGCTACAAACCTTCATCAAAGACAGCGAGTGCAAGGGTTAAACAGGTATCCTCTACTTACAGAAAAAAATTATTCATCTATTAAATGCAAGAAATATTTTGGTAACGCACATAACACAGACGGAGGTGCTCATATACCTATGTAAACAAAGAAAAACATCTTTCTGCGTATCATGTTAGCGAGCCAGTTAACAGATAGCAGGACTCACCTCAGACACACCTCTGGAAGTCGCTATGCTGTCACATTGCATCGAGGAAGTTGTAGTCTAAAGCTTATAGAGATCTCAGCGGGAATAACTGTAGATATGTACATTTTTCAGACGGTGTTGGTGTAATTTGAATTATTTTTGCACCCTTCGTTTTCAGAGATCCTAAAAATTTGGATTCTGTTGCTCAGAACAGCAGTGAATCACCCCTTTAATAACAGCATTAGTCCTCAGATACGGATTACACCAGTCTCTTTACAGTCCTGTCCATTCTAGCCCACTCTTCCACAGATGGGGTGCAGACTTCCGAAAGATGTGCGTGCCTTTCAGCATTTAACCTTCTGTTCCAAATCGAGAACTGTGATTGACTTCTGGTGATTCTGCTGGTCAGTCAAAGTGTCCCCATGTTCCAACATGTCTGTTGAATGAATCACATACAGACACAGAATGTGGGAATAACAATGCTGTGTTCTCTTCAGACATGAAGCTCAGAGTTAGTCAAACAGAGGTCTAATATGGACAGGAGCTCAATCTCAAGAGACTGCTCTAATCCTTATGAGACAGGATTGACCGTCATTAAGGTAAGGAGACCCCTGTCCAGGGAGCTTACAAAGTGGTAGCTGTTTCTAATAAAACGGCCAATAGAAGAGGTACAAGATACCTAATATACTGCATATTAAAACAAATGAAACATCAATAAGATGCAGCCAAATGTTTATCTTCTCTCAAGAACATCTAACAGTAAAATATGTTTTATTTATGGAAATGACATCAAACCCACAAGACATTCTTTTCATCAAACCACAGACGCTCAGAAAACACAGCATTCAGCTTCTCTTTTTACATTACTATCTTTAATCAAAGCTACATCTGGGACACACATTGCTTGGGAGGCCGCACACTGAAATGAGGCTTACATGGTTGTTTATATATTTACGATTCTGAAAGACTCTACCGGAGAGGACGGTGTGCGGTTGTGACAAGATGATATGTGCTGCCCTCAGTGTACTTCAATGAGAGTCCATGGCATGTGACGTCATAAAACTATATAATCCACACACAAACTGACACCAGTGCATTTTCAAGTTGGCTGTCTGAGAGATCCGCCAGGCTGGACTGAGTGCAGACAGTAGGGAGGGCGATGGGGGAGCTGTGCAGCAGTTAGGGACCCTCACCACAAGTGTGTTTCCCGGATTTCGGCGATAACCTGACTGGCTTTTTGCAAGGCCTGCAGAGATACAGGGAGATGGGTGTTGGCATGCATGAACACTTTTAACCACATCTTGTTAATCTCATTCTCTGGTATAACTGCAATCTAGTGTTTGTCAGTAGCCTACAGGGCTATATGCTAACATAAGCAGTAAGTCTTAAATAAATATACTACCACTAAGTTAGTTACACAAAAGCTTCAGGTTTTGAGACGCTTACGTTTTGAGTCCTATTACTGTTTTCAGTACAAAATTAATCTTCATTCATTAAAAAAAGTGATGTAATTTAAAAAAAAAAAATAAATAAATAAATCAAATAAATATTTGATCAGATTCCTCAGGAACAGCAAACATACATGACAAGTGCCAATACATCTATATGCATTTATTTGCAGACCACTGTTGCAATCTATATCAACATCTTGTGCTTAATGTAATTTATTTAAGTTAAAAAAAAAAATGTATTATTATATTAAATTATTAGCCTAATAGCATGTAGTGCAATGTAGTGTAGAGTTAGCATGACTGGGCAACATGAAATGAATTTTGCACATCTTGGTTCAATTTACACTTCTGTGCAAAAGTCAGAGACCACCCTTTCATTTATTTTCCAGTCAAAAATACCATTAAGCACAAACACAAGCAAAAAAATCCTAAAAACGTAAAACTTAGACTCTTCAGTCTATAAAACTCCATATCGTAGATGTCCAGTTTTAGTGTGCAAATGCAAGTTTTAATTTTTTTTTGGGGTCTATTTCCTTTTCTCAGTAGTGACTTCTTGACAGCTACACATCCTTTCAGATCCATTGCTTTGAGCTGTGTTCTCATAGAAACAACTGTGGATTTTTTCAGATCTGAAGTAGGAGTGGAGCTTGATTTTTTCCTCTCTCTCAAAGATGAAAGCTGTAAGTAATGTTTATCCAATCGTAACAGCTTTGGTGGTCTACCACTCTTACATTTGTCAGGAGTCTCATTTTCTCAATAGCTCTGAATAATAAATTCACATAAATTCCAATTTTAGAAACATCTGTGTTTTCCCAACTTATATTTCCTTGACTTTCTCCTTCCTTATGCAAGTGGATAATTTTACATCTAATCACATCAAACATCTTTAGCCACTGTAGATGCACAGGAGTCCGAAATTTGCAAGGCAGCTGAGGTGTGTTCGGGTAGTTGCTTGTGTCAAAGTCAGCATCTCTTTGAAGGAGAACAATGTCAGTGACTCCTTGGGGAATAGCTTTTGTTCAAAGGACACAACTGTAACTGGCTGGTTTAAAGACTGAAAGGATTGATAAGTTAAAATGAAAGTAAAGAATGGACAAATTAAATACTGAAAGATCTGATATTAGTGTTGGAGGCATTTGTGTAAGTTTTAAAGCAAGTTTCAAAGTAAAAGAAAAACAAAACAAAACAAAACAAAAAATCTTTTTCTTGACTCTTTAAAATGAATAACTTGTACTTAACAACAGTTTTGACTGGAAATTTGATAAACGAAAAGGTGACTTGCACTGGACTGTAAAAATAAGCATATAAATAAGTTGGGTCTTTAGATCGTCATGGATCAATTTGATGTAGACTTGCCTTGAGCATGTCTGCAGCTTCGTTCCGGCGCTGGGCCATGTCCTCCGACTCAGTCAACAGGTCATCTAGTAGTGCCGGTTTATATAGCTGCCCCACCAGCTCACTCTGCAGACTGTCCTTTACATGGTTCACCAAGAAGTGCATCACAGCCTTTGGGACACTGAGAAATAGATAAAGATCTGTAAACATTTCGATGGAAATTCCAAAACAGAACCACTTGTGTACATTATGCACTGCATGGTATAATAGTGCAGCGAGAGAGTAGCCACCTGTCCTGGATGTTCTTGCGTACAATCAGGAAGTAGGACTTTATCAGCCTCTCGATGACCTCGCAGTCCCTCTGTTCACGAGCTGAGAGCTTTCTGGCAACCGGGACAGGCTAGCAAAGGAGGGACCAACAAATCACTACTAATTCCTGCTGGCAAGCAGCCCTTAAAGCAGCTGAGAAAACACATGTGCACACACACACACACACACACACACGTTTGTATGTGTACCCAATTAGCTTAAGACTAAGCCCAGTCCAGGTAAAGACTCTATTAAATTCTCCAGAATGAGCAGAGGACTCAAAATTCTTTACTGATGGAGATTAAATAGTGGGGTTTGTTTACTGTAGTTTGTAGAATCTGAATTTGATGAAAACCCAGTGTGTTATGTGGACTCACCACATCCAGCAGGTTGACTGCATGGCCTTTCTGTGGGCTGGCTGGTAGAGGTCCCTGCTGTTTAGATTTATCATCTGCCTGGGCTTCCTCTCCTTTCTTCAGCATGCCCCTCCAGTTCCCTGTCCCAGCTTCCTGGTCACCCTGACTGCCCGCCGCCTGAGAACCCACAGACGTACACAAGTGCACATAGAGAAACGGACACGAACAGAGAAACACAAAAAGAGAACACACAAAGTAAGTCTGATCCATCTCAAACAATCAGAATTTCTAAGATTTAAAGCATAACATGAGCAACTAGTGTTTCATAAGCGAGGGCCTAAAAATTGTGGACAGCAGTGACAGACAGCATTAATCTGCATATCTTTTTGAAACAGATTAATTTGAAAACACTCCACAGACAGGATATTTAATGTTTCAACAAATTAATTTATATATTCCCTTATTTTAAATTTGTTGCCTGCAACATCTTCCAAAAAGGTTGTGACAGGGGCATCACTTTTCTTTTTAACAACGTTCAGTCAGCGTTTGGGAAATGAGGACATGAATTGTTGTAGTTCTAAATAGGAGGATTTTTCCCAATTTTGCTTGATGTAACAATTCAGTTTCTCAACAGTCCGTCGGCACATATTGTGCTTCATAATGTGCCATATTTCACTGGGAGGCAGGGTAGGCAGTCCAGCACCTGCACTTTCTTACTATGAAGAAACGCTGCTGTAACACATACAGAATGTGGCTTGGCATTGTCTTGCTGAACTGACCACGGATGTCCCTGAAAAAGACGTTGTCTAAATGGCAGCATATGTTGCTCCTCATCATTAATGATGCCTTCACAGATGTGCAATAGAATACAACACACACTCTATTGCCAGTTTAATTTACATAAAATGGAAACAGAAACTACAGTATACAAAACAAATAAAAAGGTTGGACTTGTCAAACCACAGCAGACGTTTCTACTTTGCGTGGGTCCATTTTAACTGTAGCCCAAAGAAGTCGGCGGCATTTCTGGATGTTGTTGATATGTGGCTTCCACTTTGTGTAGCAGAGCCTTAACTTGCATTTCTGGATGCAGCAACAAACTGTTTACTGTGTTATTCCCAAGCCCATGTGTTTATTTTCAATACAGAAGCATTTAGTCTGTAGTCTGTACAGTCCATATTTGATGCAGTGCTGCACAGGGGGAATTGAAGGTCGTGGGCACTTACTATTGGTTTTTGGCCTGGCCCCTTATTCACAGAGATTTCTCTAGATTCTCTGAATCTTTAAATGTTCTCATGGTATAGACGACAGATTCCATAATTCATTGCAATCTAGTGTTAAGAAACTTTGTTCTTACACTGTTGGGACTATTTGCTCACACAAGTTGTGACTGAGAATGAGACAGCGGTGATACTCCTTTTATACTCAATCACGATAGAATCACCTGTTACCTATTCACCTGTGGAAAGACCCACAACAGGTGTTTTTGATTATTTCACAAACTTCCCAGTCTTACACTGGCCCTGTTCCTACTTTTTGGAATGTGTTTCAGGCATCAAAATTGGAATAGGCATATATTTACAAAAAAATGATAAGGTGAAATACTAAATTCTGTTCTTTGTGCTGTTTTCATTTAAATCAATACTTTGTCTTGATTTGCATTTTACCTACTGCCCAATTTTTTCAGTATTCGGTGCAACTTTATCCACTCACGAATCACACAATTCAAAAACCAGAGGCATGCATTTTCCTTAAGTCTGGTGCATGAGACAATTGCTGTGGGCTCTGGGTCAGGTCAACATGTGTATTACCAAAAAATGCAGAAAAGGGGAAAGTACCAACTCTTCTTTACAACACATGGGACAACTGCAGTTGCTGGAAGCAGAATGAGGCAAACTAGTGGACAGAGGTGTTGAAATTAACACACATAAGTGGTCTGAAACAGACATATTGGCTAGTGCTGTGCAAACAATATGTAAACTATACATTAAAGTGGCCTTTCACAGTAGAAAAACTAAGAAATGAACACATAAAACAATCTACCTTCCAAATGTGACTCACTGCTGTCATTTTTCCATGACAAAGACATCAGCTCATGTTCAGCATGCAAAAGGGTTGAAAAACCACAAGCACCCCCTTACAAAATAAAACCAAGATTCTCTGGGTGGTATCTTTACAGGAAACATGTAGAACAGAACAGAAAGCTCACAGGCTGCATTTGGCTTAGTATTCAGTGGCCATGCAGTTGAATGAAAGGGTGGGGGATTGGGGGTCAATGCCATGCCATGCCCACACAACTTGTGTGTGCCACACACCTTGAGGGCATCACCCTCAGCCTGGGGCTGATCACTGGGGGACAGAGAATGACCACCGGGACCCTTCAGAGACTACAGAGAAAGAGGCAGAGGAAGACTGAGCCATTTGTTAGAGCGCTGATCAGTAACTAATCACTTATTTTGGGCTCTTGGGTTTAAATCTAAATTTGACATTAGAAGCTTTTCATCTGGAATAAAAAAGAGGAGATAAACAGCCAAAAATTGCTTCTTGCAGAGAACATAGACCAAGTATAGCAGCGGTACAGCAGCCCTGCAACTGGAAATCTACCTTCCTGCAGGGTTTAGCTTCAGCCCTTACAAATCACCTCTAATCCAACTAGTTACTGTATTCAGAAAAACTTTGTTAACTGCATCGGATGAGTTTTGGGCTTGAGGTGAAACCTGCAGGAAGGCAGACCACCAGGAGGAGGGATGTGACCACAGAAATTAAGCAGGAGAACAAGAGAGGTTAGTGAATTTTCACCGGAAGCATCAGCTCCAGACTGCTTAAGGTCAGGATTTATGACTCATTACACTACCTTATCACGTGGTACAGCTGAGGGCAGCTCTCTCATTCTGTTCCGCCTCTGCTCCTGTACAAACAAACAATCAATCAAACAATCCACTATTCAAATAATACTTCTGATACATCATCACTCTTTGAAATAAAATGCTATCACATACTATCAACCAGAAGAGTAACACTACCTCAATATTGTTGTTCATGAGTCCACAAGCATCAGCAAAATCTGGGTGCTTCGTATTGATGTACGCCAACTCAATAGCCACCAAGTTGTGAACCTGTAACAGAACGACTTCCATGAATAAAAGTAATTAACATATTGTTGTATGCAAAATTGCGACAATCCCAAGTAAAAGTATGTTTTGTTGATTTTCTAAGTGAAAATAAGTTAATACATCCCATTTTTTTGGGATGTACTTTCCACATATTACTTTATTTAAATGTTATTTAAATAGGCAACAGATTTTGCATTTACAAATTTAAAATCCCTGCTTGGCTCTTTAGGGAGCCATTAATGTTATTTATATTATGGCTAATGCTGTAATGTACTGGAAATGCCCAAGTGTTTCATGGTGTTCATCTAGTCGACACAGTGAGAGCTTTGGGTAAAAAAAAAAGTGGGAAAAATTATCCATATTTGTTTTCTTAATCTGGCTCTAAATAAACTGGAATCAACCATAGAAATTCGACCTGTGTACTGACAAAGTAAACTAATGAACAAAAGCTCACCATCTCATTAGTGACAGGAAGCCTTTTTCTGAGGAGAGATGTGACCACTTCAACGATAGCATCATGGAGCTTAGGAAACCTCAGCAACTCCTGGAAATAACAAATATTAAAAGGTGAGTAAATTATCTGAATAACATTTACATGAAAATGTTTAGAAGTAAACACATCATCCTCACAAGAGTTTACAAAAACCAAGCAGGCATCTACTAAAGGACAACAGAAGGATTTGCACTTGTGTTTGCTCACTGCAAGTGATTCTGATAACAAGAAAAGTAAAATATATTAAACAAAAACTAAATATTCAAGTTATCCAAAATCATTCAGAAAACACTGAAAAGATTTTTTTGATTAAGATTTTAAAGACTAGACATTTAAATAACATTTTTCAACTTAAGGTTTCTCAGTGGCCCTCAGTGTGTTAGTATGTACGATACACACGTGTGACACGCATTACACACCTGGGTGCTGTAGTTACTGCAGTGCTGGATGATCCTCTGCATTTCCTCGTGCACCAGCTCCACACAGCGCAGACTAGGCTCCTCAAGACGCTTCACTTGCCTCTTTACCAGCAGCTCAAACGACACCTCAGGCACAAACAAAGCAGGACGTGGACCCTGCACACATACACACTACGTTACCCAGCTGTCCATGCGTTACAAACCACATCCTGCAGTCTCTCTAATGCAGACTACATTTCCCAACAGCCTCTGCAGTAAGGTATTTCATCCTAGAGTAGGGGTTCCCAATCCCAGTACTGGCCACTGATTGCTCTGCACATTTTTATGTTTTTCCTACTGTACACATCTGATCCAGACCACGAGGAGCTTTTTAACTAGTTAATGAGTTTAATCCCAACACTGGGAACCCCTACCCTTCTGTCCAGTTCTATTTTATGTTATATGCTCAACACAAAGGCAGTTTAAAAAGGTCAACTCACCGTAGCATTTCTGATGGCTGTGAGCACATCTATGGTTGTAAGCCCACCAAGAGGGTCGACTGATTCCAGTGTCCTACCGAACGTCTCATGGAAAATGTAACAAATCCTAGCACCACCACACCTGAAACATGAAAATAAACGGCATTAAAGGGTCCAACACTGTGTCTGCATTTTATTTGTTCCCCTGAAGTCCACTTATAATGTTTGTGTGGTTTTATACACTAAAAGCAGCCATAATTCATTTTACATAACCACTTTCCAACCTCTGTCAGGCTGTTTTTTAAAGGCTGTGCTTTTAATATTGATACATGTAAACAAGCTATGTTCTGACTGGCTGCTCTATATTGTCTCATTCAAAAACAGTCCAGACTGGAAAATCATTCAAAACGTTCTTTGTTGTGGCACAGTTTCCATATAAAAGCTGTAAGGACCAGGGAGTAAACGGTACATTTTGAAACAATGTTTACATACTACATCAAACTCTTTCATTCCAGAAAACCACGGGACATGGTTTTCCATGATATGGGCCCTTGAATAGACGGCTGCTGGATCAGAGCAGGCACTCGTAGTACATAGTGTCAGTTAATAGGCAGACAACAGATCATGAAATGAGTAAGCAGATTATGTTTTATAATATACTAATTTACAGCCATTCTTATATTCATCCACTATATGTCTCCAGAAAACAGATGAGGGATAACCTGATGTGTGTTATTTCAGAGGTATGTCTTCTGCACTCAGTCTTCTCAGTTGGAGAAAACACCTGAAGTTGCATTTTAAATAAATCCTATCCTCACCCAAAAATAGTATTTCTTCGAAACCAGGTGTTTTCAGCTACAAATATATCAGTGGCTCAGGAGAGTTGCTTGCTTGGAACAAATACTCACAGCTCAGCTGTCTCTATATATTTGGCTGTTCCTTCGATAGTGTTGCAGTACTCTGCAGCAAACTTGGTGATGAGCTGCAGCAGGGTGGCGCTCTTGTCCTCCACTGGTTCTCCGTAGCTGCTGAGCAGAGACTGGTACTGAGCAGCCAGAACATTAATACGGGTCTTCAGCTCTGGAAGGCAGTCCCGAATGTGGTGCATTAACAACCTGAGACAGAGAAGACAGACATAGCAGAATGACAAATCATGTGAGCACAAATAGAGGAGTGGAGAAAGCTGAACAGCCATGACAACATTATTCCTGGGGGGAAAAAAAGATCAGTTACCTATTCAGTGTTTTGGCCAGGTATTTGGTTCCGTTTCTGTTGGCTAAGGAAGGATACTTCTTCTGGAGGAAGGCATGCTCATCACGGATAGAATCAGCTACAGATTTCTTGTTGTTGATATCTAATTGACTCCTGGATAAACAGGAAGAGGGGATGCATCCTTTTTAAATGGGAATTATCAAGCATAGGAAAAAAAGTGTATAATTTACAAAGCCATAAACAACAGTAGCTTGTGAAGTGCTGAATGCAACGATAAATGACAGAAGGCTTCGTTATTTTATTGTTCACCTGTTGACGACTCCTATGAGTCCCAGTTTGACAGGAATGACTCGGCCCATGAGAACGTCCATCGCATCAGTGCCAGCATCCATCAGGTCCAGCTTCGTCACCACAGCCAACGTCCGCCGGCCTAAAGAGCACAATACAGCTCAAATACGACAAGATGCTGCACTTCTAAGAGCCTTAAAATTTTAGCCCATGTTTTTCATAGACTGATGTGCCGATGCAGATACATAAACATTTTTTTTTTAAAAATTGAGACTAGATAAAATTAGATTAGCACTACAGATACAGTAAAATGGACAAATGTGGACATTTTTGCATAGTGACCCAGTGTAAAGAGAGCAGGTGATAGTTTTAAATGTCAGTCAAACTTAAACATCTGTCCAATCCAGGTATTTTTTAAAGCAACTGTCTGCCAACACAGATATACTGCCAAAAGTATTCGCACGTCTGCCTTCACACGCATATGAACTTGAGTGACATCCCATTCTTAATCCATAGGGTTTAATATGATGTCGGCCCACCCTTTGCAGCTATAACAGCTTCAACTCTTCTGAGAAGGCTTTCCACAAGGTTTAGGAGTGTGTTTATGGGAATTTTTGACCATTCTTCCAGAAGTGCATTTGTGAGGTCAGACACTGATGTTGGACGAGAAGGCCTGGCTCACAGTCTCCGCTCCAATTCATCCCAAATGTGTTCTATCGGGTTGAGGTCAGGACTCTGTGCAGGCCAGTCAAATTCTTCCACACCAAACTCCCTCATCCATGTCTTTATGGACCTTGCTTTGTGCACTGGTGCGCAGTCATGTTGGAACAGGAAGGGGCCATCCCCAAACTGTTCCCACAAAGTTGGGAGCATGAAATTGTCCAAAATCTCTTGGTCTGCTGGAGCATTAAGAGTTCCTTTGACTGGAACTAAGGGGCCGAGCCCAACTCCTGAACAACAACCCCACACCATAATCCCCCCTCCACCAAACTTTACACTTGGCACAATGCAGTCAGACAAGTACCATCTCCTGGCAACCGCCAAACCCAGACTCGTCCATCAGATTGCCAGACAGAGAAGCGTCATTCGTCACTCCAGAGAACACGTCTCCACTGCTCTAGAGTCCAGTGGCGGCGCTTTACACCACTGCATTCGGCGCTTTGCATTGCGTTTGGTGATGTAAGGCTTGGATGCAGCTGCTCAGCCATGGAAACCCATTCCATGAAGCTCTCTACGCTGTTCTTGAGCTAATCTGAAGGCCACATGAAGTTTGGAGGTCTGTAGCGATTGACTCTGCAGAAAGTTGGCGACCTCTGCGCACTATGTGCCTCAGCATCCGCTGACCCCGCTCTGTCATTTTACACCATTTTCGTGGCTGAGTTGCTGTCGTTCCCAATCGCTTCCACTTTGTTATAATACCACTGACAGTTGACTGTGGAATATTTAGTAGTGAGGAAATTTCACGACTGGACTTGTTGCACAGGTGCCATCCTATCACGGTACCACGCTGGAATTCACTGAGCTCCTGAGAGCGACCCATTCCTTCACAAATGTTTGTAGAAGCAGTCTGCATGCCTAGGTGCTTGGTTTTATACACCTGTGGCCATGGAAGTGATTGGAACACCTGAATTCAATGACTTGGATGGGTGAGTGAATACTTTTGGAAATATAGTGTATGACTCCAGTATCACTCTGCAAGGTACTCCAGATTAACTGACGGAAAGATCCTTCAGCTAAGACAGGAAGATAAAGATGATTAAGGAAAAAGTGTGTTGAACACATACAGAAAGACATAAAAAGAGAATACAAACCATCAGGGTCGACTTCACGGGCCACTTTGAGGGCTTCAGAGGTGGCCATGTCTGTGTTGGCAGCTGTGACTGCCAGGATGATGCAGTTAGGGTTGCTGATGTACTTTAGGATCAACTCACGGATCTGGATCTCAATGTCTTTGGGCTGGTCACCAACAGGGACCTGCGTATAAACACACAAATGCACAACTGGCATTTCTAACAAAGGTAATTTCAGAAAGCTTAAAGAAGATGACTACAATGTTTTAATGTTTAACGGAGGAATTACCTTTGTGATACCAGGCAGATCCACTAATGTGAGGTTAACCACATGAGGGGAGAAGATCTTCAGGTGGATAGGTTCATCGCTAATGCCCTGGGAGAGATATTAAAGATCAGCAAACAAGCTATAATATCTTCCAAATTTATATGTTTATGTATGCTTTTACTAGTTCTTGAAAGAACATCGATACCTTATTGTTGCCAGAAACTCTTTCAGTTTCAGCTTCAATTTCTTGTCTTATTTCATCGAAATCTGTGTAGATCTTAAAACAAGAACAATTTCATTCACACTTTCAGCAAAACATTGTTATATACATAAAACAGAACTTATATGCAAGTCATCCAATAAATTAAGTGTGTGAATCTTTAGCCATCACCAATGATACTATGTAAATCAAAGAATTATAAAAAAAAATAATAATAAAACACCATTCAGGTCATCAGGGTAGCAGACAAGATATAAAAATCTTTGGTAAGTAACTGCAACACTACAAACGCCCCTGTTCCATAGTATTCCCCTGAGAGAGCGACAGGCCTACATCCCCTTTTTTTGCTCTTACAAACAGGGCGTGCTTATGATCTGCCTTCAGATAAAGACTCAATAAAGTGACACAAAGACACCTAATATATACACTATATGGCCAAAAGTATGTAGACACCTGACCATCACATGTATGTGAGCTTACTGGACATTCCATTCTAAAACTATGGGCATTAATATGGCACTGGCCCCCCATTTGCAGCTATAACAGCCTCCACTCTTCTGGGAAGGCTTTTAGAGTTTGTCTATGAGAATTTGTGTCAATTCAGTCAAAAGAGCACTTGTGAGGTCAGACACTGATGTTAGATGAGACGTTCTGGCTTGCAATTAACATTCCAATTTGTCCCAAAGGTATTCAATAGCATGGAGGTCAGGGCTCTGTGCAGGCCACTGGAGTTCCTCCACATCAAACTCCTCAAACCACGTCTTTATGACCCTCGCTTTGCACACAGGGGCACAGTCACACTCACACATTCACAGCTGAGAACTGTTGTCCTGATTAGGACTCACATGCTGTCCTTCATGAGACATTTATGCATACAAGAGTCAAAGATTACTGTGATGCACAAGCTAGTTTGATTTTTCAATATTCAAGAGCAAACCTTTCCATCAAATAATATATTGTCTCGGAATAATTCAAAGCTGTAGTAAACCAGAATCTGGTCAAACTGCCACACAGGCACATACCTTGTTTTTGGTGTGCAAAAATTTGCCCCATTCTTCACCGTCCACACCTGGAAGTTCATAACAAACAGGAGAGGTTACTTCTAGTGTTTTTCATTTCAGATTTATGTAAAAACCTAAACTGTGTCTCCAGAGCAGTGGTTCCTATCCCAGCCCTGAGGACTTTTTGCACACCCAGTTCACCTCATCCTCTAATTAACAAGCTCTTAACAGGTTGCATCAGGTGTGTTAAAGAAAGGGAACATGTGAAAAATGGACTGGGGTTGGGAAGCATGGCTCTGGGGACAGTCTGTTTATTTATACAGCTGTAAAGCATGTTCTGGCGGCCAGGGACCCGACACTACATGTCCATCTTTGGAAAAAAAAAAACCTCAAAGCATCCAAAAAAAAATTAAATAAGTAAATAAATAAAGCAAAGTTCAGCAAATGATGCCAAACAGAAACAAACCCAAGCACAGTGCATATTGGTAGACCAAGCATTCTAGCATAAGCCTCGCTTTCCCTCTTTAAGCACACGCACATTCATGTTCTGCTGAAGTAGGTTACTTCTAAAGGGAAATAACAGTTAGTGGGCTATTAGCACATTTATTAGGTGATTCTACAAGGAGGTTAAACTTTCTGGGACCCCTACTGGAATCATCATTTTGATTTACCCTACAGGCCTCATACTTACCACCTAAAAGAACTGCTTTGTGTTTTAAAGCGATAGTTTAACCAAAAATTTGCACTATTTACCTCTTAGCAATGTCCTTCTGTCCATTTTATTAAAAAAAGAATTGCACAGATTGCTCAACATTTCTGTATTAAATGGTTAAGATATAACCAAAGTCATTCAGAGTGGTTTAAAATGCTCCATTTTAGAGCAACATATTGAATTGTTCACAGTGCAGTGGTGGTGATAGGAACCAGACATCTGAAGTGTTCAATGCTTCCAACAGCTACATCACAGAACGTTATTAGATAAAATGGCTATGAATACACTGCCTGATGCAAAATGCAAACTTTAGACATCAAACCCCTCAGCAGAAACTGTACAAGGTAGTTTTTGGCTGAACTATCGCTTCAAATTCAGTATGATTCAGAGATCTTGTATCTCTGTACATACGTTGACTGAGTCTGCACTACATTTACTGGTGATTTGATCAAAGCTAGTATTAAAAAAGATGGTTTCTCAAAGCTAGTACTAAAAAAAAAATAAAAAAATGTCAACAGAATCAATATAAGGGCAAAATAAAATGGTCAGACGGAAGCTGCTCAACACAAACAGAAGGGCAAGGAACAAGGAAAAGGAGACCTTTGTAAAGGCGTCCATTTTTCCAGGCATTGGGGTCTGCGGTTAAAGAGAGACGACAGAGGAAACAGGGTTAGCCTGCCTGTATCTCCATAGAGCAATGCAGTCTCTAGAGGCCACAGCACAAGCCAATGACCCGAATGCTGATGTGGACAACGTTCATAACATCCTGTTTGATTCTCCTGGTATAAATGAGAGGTTAGCAGCAACACAACCGGCTCACAGGTAGAGCTACATAATTTTACTCATGTCACATAGAAGTCACTCACGACATTGTTGTGATAAAGCAGAAGAATGTTTCAGGAATTGTTCTAATGCTGTGTGGGAAGCTAAAGGACAGCAGTGAAAAAAGCACACAGCAGGGCAGTCCTTTTGTTGTGACAGGTTGCTGCTCACAAGTCCTGGCCTATCCCCAACCGTGCTAACCAGACTTAGACAAAGGGAGGTGATGCATTCGGCCCATTCGTAAGCACGCAACACACCCACACATGAATGACAGACAAGGGACGAGAGCACAGAGGTTGTGTGTGTACCGTTCTCATCATTTGTCTTCCTGCGGTCCTCTGGATCCACGTGCACCAGCTGCAGAATAAGAGGCCGGCGTGTGACGATGCCCGTCCCACGGGGTAAAAGATCTCTGCCTACCAGACTCTCCAAAACGGAGCTTTTCCCACTGCTCTGTAAACAAGAAAATCATTATAACATGAGAAACACTCCAGCCGTGAGTAAGGAACTATTACCTTCATGAACAGGTGTAACAGTACATCACTAGAAGTGACTGTACTCTACATATATTGATCTGTATCATGAATAAGACTATCATGAACAACAGTATCAGGTATTTCTTCAACAGTACCAGTTATTAAAAAAAAACTGTAGATCTGTTGCAAAACAGAAAAATTTGTACTGCCTCAAAAATCATAACTCTGCTTTTGTTCTTCATTGTAGTCATGTGCTTACACTTCAAGCATTGGCACTATGTGTCTTCTAGCAATTCACATTTCACAACTGAAAAAGCCCAATATGTGATTTGAGCAGCCACAAAGAGTTCACTGGCAGAGATTCAGCTGTTAAGCTGCCCAGACAGCTTACTAACACTTTACTGTCCTTGTGTTACTGTGACTCCTGTGCTTGGATGCCTAGTAAGATGGACATATCCTATTAACTGACCAGCGAAAGTCTAGCTGGCCAAAATAAGATGTCTCTTTAAACCTATTAGAAACAAACTGTAGTAGTCTAAAGGACAGGGCCATCTTCTTCTTGCAGTGGTAGTTTTGCAAAATATTTGGCCTCTCAAGACCCTTGAAAATAATGTTTAGGAGACCAGATGTAGGAAACTACTTACTTTAACTAGAAGACAAGTAATATAAACGTTTCAACCAATTGCATGACCGAGCAATCGTTTTGATATTTCCATTATGCTTACTGAATATAATGTGCACTTACTTTTGCAATATTTTTCTGTCTCTATAAAGCATAAATAAACTTGCACTTGCATTTGCACAGCCTGCTGAGAGCACCTCTCTAAAAACTCTGGGCTGAGAGGCTTCCTGTCCTGAACTGCTTGCAAAAACAACAGCAAATTCGCAGAGAAAGACTTGAATTTCATTGTCATTTTCCTCTCTCAGCTTTTGGTTTTAAGCACACAAAGAGATCTTAGCAGCTGTTTAGTCCATTTCGATCTGTCAAAAAGCAGCCCGTCTCTAAGTTTAGCTGCAGCACATTATTCCCAGCTCTGTCCAGTCAGCTCATATTAGCCACCGCATTCAGTAAACTTGAACTGATGATGCGCTTTTTCCATCCAGACAAGGTGAAGTTATAAACGCTTAACAGCAGGATGGGTGAACAACGATGTGGACGTTCAGTTCAAACAACGTAAATTATAGCTAACGACCCAAGACAGAGAAGCAGAAACTGACAGTCAACACAAGCAGTCTAAATGAAATGAACTAGTTAGCTAGCTTGTTAGCTAACATTAGCTAACTACATTTGATTTAGGTAACACCGAAAGCGCTCTCAGGATATATTAATGATTTTTAATTCATCCTGAAGATTACAATTGTGTCTTGTAATCACATCAGTGCAATCACTAAGCAGAATGCTATAAACAGTCATAGCCGTTCACCGCTGTTAGCTTGTTAGCGCTAACGAAAGTGAAATCTTTGTCGCTAACTTACCTGCGTTCCTACCACCGCGATCTGCGGCAGCTGGATAATATCCGCGCCCACTGTATTAAACACGTCTTGAAGCTTGTTAATGACCGGAATAAGGGCCTCCATCGCTTTGGCAAACGCCGACTGTCTAAATGAATGGACTCGCTAGTCAACCAGCCTGCCAAAAACGGTACAAAGTCATCCAATGTCCCTCACGGAGCCACCATTTACCAGCCCGGTCCGGGCAACAACTGCGCACAGATTCTTCCGCGCGCAATTGTGGGATTTGTAGTTTTTGTAAACAGACAACTGCTGAACAAAGGTCTAGAAGTGAACTACATTTCCGGGGTTTGCTCTCACGCTCTCACTTCGAGGCAATCGGACTGAAACAAATATTTTGAGCATGTTTTGTTTTTTTTTCTATGTATGACGAAAGAAAAGGAGATAATAAATAAAATGGGCAGCACGTTGTTACACCTTCTTAGTTACACGTGGGGACAATTTTTATGAACTTTTTAAAAGTATTTTTCAACGGTACTTTTTTGTGAAAGGGATTTGCTTTTACCTCCGTTTGTATTCACATTCAGAAAGTAACTCTTTTTGGATTTAATTTCATGTTGTAGAGGTAGTCTCACCTGTGCTGCGTTGCTGTTGCTCGCACTTCTCAAGCTTTTGCATTTTATTTTGGACCAAAAGGATCCTAAATTTCTCAGCTGAAAGATGCTGGATGCACTGAAGTTCCACTGCAGTTCTGTAAGGAACTTGGTACTTAAGGAGTTTTTGGATTGGTGATTCTTGATGATCACTTTACATGAATCATTATTTCACTGAAGTAACAAAATTTCACCTGAGGATGCTTTTAAGACTACTCTGCCCGTCTCTGCCCTTACCGTGGTGAAAAGAGTTCAAAATAAATAACTAAATTATCTTCGGAGAGTTAAGGAGTCACAGCAAATGTTGCATTTTTGCACCATTTATTCCACCCAAGTACATTACATCATACATCTGGGTTTGAATACAGTCAATTAAGTTTCATCCATAGGATTTAAATAATGAAAGTGCTTAATGGGTCAGCTGAAGTCAAACTGAAAAACAACAAGGCCAGCGAGTATCAGTGGTATTAACAGGAGAGCTGGCTTAAAATATTGCACACAAACAAAATTATTCAACATTAAAAATGAGGTAATAGGTGATCTGTCCTAAGGAACATAGCTGGGTCTAGACACATTCACATTAGTATATGGTATTGAAGTGTTCCATGCATATTTGGTGATTTGGAGACTAGTTTGCAAAAATGAAAGACAGCATCAGGCAAATGATTAAAGCTATGCAGCAGTTTACAGCGTTCACATTTCTTACAGACTGAATTAAGGTGGAGCAGAAGCGCTGGCAGAACTAAAGTGGAAACAGGAACAACTGCCAATTTCCATGGAATTTATATCTAAATCATCCTTACTGTACCTGTAAGTCTTAAGCATTTGCCTTCACATTTCCATCTACATTTGGGTTAATATTGCTTTCAACAAGCATCAACTACACTGTAAAAACCTTTACATATGTGACTAACATAAACTAATATGAATCTGACTTTAACTGTTTTAACAGAGTGTTAAGTTGATCACACGTTGTTTATTAAGACCCTCACAAACAGGCAACTTAAGATGTGAATTATGAAACTAGGCTCATTATTCCTCTCAACTCTGGAACAAGATGAACAAGTACATACAGATCAATTTACAAAGCATCTGAATCCACTTCAGAACATTTGAAAAAGGCACCGCTAATAACCATGAAATGATGAGACTGGAAAGTGTTCACAGCAAAACTAAAAGCTATTGTCCAAAGCAAACCAAAGTGTACCTGGTGTTTCTAAATAGGTATTAGTTTATGTGTATATACAATTATATACACACATACACACACACACACACATATATATGTGTGTAAAAATCTTCCACAGTGACAATGATAGCTTAGTTATTTGTGTTTATGTGGAGGCTGTACACATTTATCTCCACAGAAGTGCCACTAGATGTCCATCTGGAAAGTTGTAATTCATGTTGAGGTTTCTTTTTGTCAGAAGTTAGCACCATTACAATCGCAATTAAAAATTCTACTTAACCAGGGATGCCAATATGGGGTCACACAAAAAGGATTTGTTCCTTATCTAGCTAACTTTAAGCTTAGTTTGATCTAATCCTGGATTTTCTGTCTCACGATGGTAAACCACAGAGCATTACTTGCTGTATATGTAGATTAAGTTTAAGATTCTGGCAACTGTGGGACCAGTTGGGCCGAGTTTCTGGCCAATCAGGGACAGCCTCCTGACCAAGATGTATGTGCGAAAAAAATAAATGTATTTTATATATATATATATATAAAAAATTTATATATATATATATATATAAGCTCTCTCTTTTCGGTGGAGGAAGCAATGGTTTCTCATGAGGAAATCCAAAGTTCAGCTTTGTTTTCTAATGCAGAGAGCAGCACATTCTGCACCATGTAATGTCAGTTGTCACCAAATAATCCATAAACTAATAGTGCTCCTTGTCATAACCTATTCACTCATAAACAAGGTCTAGCTTCACTCACCACAGCAACGTGTTAATAAATTAGTAAAAAAACAAAGTCCAACAAAAAATAGCTTAACTATAGCTGAACACAGCACAGCTAAAGAATGGCTGGTGGACAGTGGTGACTACATTTCACTCTGGAGCTCAGGAAGAGGTACAGTCCGTGTAGGTGGTCACCATATTCCCCCTTCTCTGAGTCACAGTCCTACAGTGCTGTTTTGCTGTACCATGAAACCTGCTCTCAGTCCGCTTGGCGTGTCTATCAAATGTAAACATTCTCTCCATGTCATCGGAAAGCTCCTCGAAGATCCCAGCACCAAACCCGCCCTGGAAGTGCCTCTTGTGGCGGCTGTGGGCCTGCTGGTGAGCCCTGAAATGGTCCTCGAAGTGCCGTTTTGGCCGGGCATGTCTGTTCTGGCTGTAGATGTCGAAGTCTCTGAACATGTCGTCGAAGTTAAAATCGAAAGTCTGGTGAAAGTACTGGCCTCCACCTCGCATGCCTTCGCTGGAGAAAGCACCGTGTCCTAACTGATCGTACTCTCGCCTCCTTTTCTCATCCGAAAGGGTTTCATATGCTGAAAAAGGCAGATGGAGAAGAGATTTTAGACTGTGTTGTAAACATGTTTTACGATGTATTGACCTCAATGTTGAGATTCAACTGCATATATTTTACAAACGTTATAAATTATAATAAAATTCGGTCACACTTTCTTTTGATGGTACCTTGTAGATGATCTACAGCTACACAAATTCTTCACAAACTTCGTTGATTATTAACAACATTATAGTTAGGGAGTGGGTGCAGGTTTTGTGTTGAAATTAAGGTTAAGGTTATAGAACCTATCGCACTTAACTTCCTGCCCAGTTGCATTTAACAGATATTTAGTTAAAGACAGACTGAGCATTTACAAATCATCCACAGTGGACTATAAAAATCAGATTTTACCTAAAATTGAGTTCATAGTAAGCACTACTTTTCTCATTTGTTTCGCATAGGGATGGACCAATATGGGAATTGTGTCTTGATGCTAATATCTGATACTTATATATGTTCATATATCAACATCAAAAGATAATTGGGACTAGACCTACCTTGATTAGCATTACAGAGAAATATAACACTTATTTAAATAGGGATACAACTGCAGTAAAATGAATACAATGCAGACTTCAGCGCAGTAGCCCAGCACAGCCTAAACATTCGGCACAATGAATACCGGTCAAATCTAAACATCTGTCTGATTCCGATATGACTCAGATATTATCTGATGTTATCATGCATTCATAGTTTCTCCAGTCACATTTGTGTATTTGGTGTTTTTTATATTATTATTATTGTTGTTGCTGTTATCGTGTCTGTATGATTCAGAATAGACCTAATAATTTAGAAAATAATGATGGTAAACCGTTAAACTGGGTTGGGGGGGTTCTTTTAGTTTACCGCTTCATTCTATATTTTTCCAACAGTTCAGTTAAAGTTGTTGTAGTACTATAGTCATCTTTAATTTGGCCCCGTTGTTAATCTAGTAAGACAGAACAGAAATGCGAATCACACGTTTCCGTCTGAAAGTTTGTCACTGCTTAGCTTAGCCCTTAGCCTTCTTGTCTGAAGCCATTTCGCCTGATGAATCAGAGCTGAGACGTGTTTTTCCCGAGACTGAAATCGTTTTTCAGTCTAAAACCTAACGGTGTGGTGTAAGGATCTCCTAAAACGTACACTGTATCGCAGAGGTGGCTTTTTGTAAAGACTTGATATGTGCCTGCAGCACTGAGTGCTGGAATACCGATGTCTTGCTATGGTTTGCACAACATGAATAAATCAATAAATGAGATTTTACCATCATTTGGGACTGTTACTGTGGCAACTCAATTAACTGTCACCAGGCACAGGCCTAATATAGAATGAACCTGAATCGAAAATCGTTGAGATTTCATGATGTATTGACTCCTGTTCTGAAGAACTGAGACTGAATTGAATCAATGTGAGGTCAGAGATTTACACTGCTATATTGTACTATCACTAAACACAAGACTGATTAGAAAATCTGCAGTGCACACTCTTACATGTCTGCTGCAATTAAAATGCGCTCACAGCAACTTTATGTCACTTCAACTGATTATAAGTAAATTTACAAACTGTGTTTAACACAAAACGTGGTTAACTATTTACCTTCTGCTGCTTCCCGGAACTTTGCTTCTGCATCAGGGCTCTTGTTCTTGTCTGGATGATATTTCATGGCAAGCTTGTGAAAAGCTTTCTTAATCTGACGTTCCGTGGCATCTTTAGGTACCCCCAAAATATCATAATAGTCCTTTTTGGCCAGTATCAGTTCTGTTATCATCAGGACACATACAGCGAACATTAACGTTGACTGCGCTGTGGCCATGCTGTCGTTAGTGCCTGTTTGATAAGAGAGAGGCACAGATACACAAGTGAGCACACATACAGGGCTTACAGTATACAGAATGAAGAGGCCTGCTAGGAATTCAAATCACATCTAACATTGTAAATCTAAAAAACTGAATATCTAATTAAACTCTTTAACATATTTACACTGAGAAATGATTAATGCAGTAGAGAATGGCTTGACAATTAGTGCATGAAATCAGATAAACTACACTTTGTAACTGTATACATGCAGCAGTGGGCAAAATGGTTGAAATAATACAGTTTTAGAATTATGTGTTTAAAATAATTGGTTTGACATTTTGTTTCCAAACACAAGAAACTTAACATAGTTTTTGACAAAGATGGTTGGAATACATTTGGGGCCACTGTTACTTTTCTTATAAAGCTATATCAGCGCTCAAAATACCTTGCACGCCCCCTTTATAAACTCCAGACAGTTTATTTTTTAATTTCTGCATAATTAAATGGTTGAGATGTACACAAAATCTTTTTTTGACGTCTAAAGTAAGTGTGAAAAGTGTAAAAACACAGAAATGCTTTCACTGTCAAAATGAGATTAAAAAAAAATCATCTAAAAAAAAAAACAAAGTTATGGCGTATTTTAAGCAATTCATCTATTCATGGTGAAGGGATAAATAAAAGGATATTTTAAGGCAAAATAGTACCCCAAAGAAAACTTTTTTTTCAGATTCACCACTACGTTGCCATCATTAATATTACATACAGAAAACTCAGAAGACACGTGTAGGTTTACTGGTGGTTTTGGATAGTAAATAAAATGGCTATATTTGTGTTGTAGACATCAGGACCCCTGGTTCCTATCACCACCACTGTAAATAAATCTGAGTCGGCAAGTTTCCTTCTCTACTAATGAACCATTTCACATCAAACCACTCTGAATGACCTTGCTCAATCAGCGAATTACAGACATGTTGAAAAGTCGGTGGAATTCCCCTTTAAAAGACAAACGTCGTTTTAGGATAAAAAAGAGACGCTCTGCACAATTTAGCTGAACCAAACACTTGTGTTCACATGGCTGGCTGGCTGGCTGGCTGGCTGACTGACTACCCACATATACATACCTTACAATCCTCGCAACAGTCTCAAAATTAAAAATCACTTGCCTGAATGACGTTAATTTCTACCTTAAACAGCCCTCCGGAAAACAGAAAGCAGCAGCGCACTGTCGTCCTGCTGCCCGTGAACTAACCCGCTATGCTAACCAAGCTAACTAGCTAACCGTTTGCTCACAGAACGCAAAAATCCGCAACAAAGACCAAAAAGTTGCTTTAAAAACACATCAAACCCAGCGCAGCTGTAATTCAACGTGGTTAAAACTTTAATTAACGTTACTCACTCTTTTCTACAGACAGTAAAAGCCGATGAAATAACGGTTCGCGTTCGTTTCCATTCCAACGAGCAGTAACAACACGAATCTCAACCCCATTGGTCCGTTATGTACCACGTGACCTGCGCGTAGCGAGGGACACGGGTGTGTTCGTACGCGCAATTTCTTTATGGTGATGCTGCGCAGACATGCGCAGGTAAACTTTCATTTATGAATACAGATTTCATAATGAAGTGGATACAATTATGTGAAATGATGTTTATATTATAAACATAAATGTATCGAACTCGCATAAGTCTCCCGTGTCGGCAGAAGCCCTACCGGATGTGTTCATCGAGGCTAAAATAGTACGAATTTGCGTCGTGCCCTCGCGATTGAGGCCAATGTAAATTTTAATTAGACGTCTAAAATAAATGTAAAAAAGTGTTAAAAAAAAATGGAAATGCTTTCACTGTCAAAATGAGATAAAAAAAAATCTTAAAAAAAAACAGTCGACGCGCGCGAACATGAAACATGACGTCACCTCGCTTTCCCACAATGCGTCCGAAGATCCGAAGATGGCGGGCGTCCCCGATCCGCTGGAAGACATGCTTTACTCAGACGTGGACGAGAAAGCCGTCAGCGACCTCGTAGGCTCTTTAGAATCGCAGCTCGGTGGGCCGGACGAGTCCGCAGCTCCGCAGGGCGACGGGAGGCGCTCCGGGCCGCCGCAAGCACACAATCCCAACTTGGGACAGTCGCAGCCCGCTCAGGCGGCGGACCGGCGGCGCTCGGGACTCCAGAGAGCCGAGCCAAAGCTGGAGGTCGGCGGCGCTCGGGAAAACGGCTCCGAGGGGATCCCGGCCTCCGTGAACGCGGCGCCGAGCTCCGTGCTGGTGGGCGCTGCTGCTGCGGCGAGTCGCTTGCAGCCTCTCGGGAAAGCAAAGCCTGCAGTGGGACTTCTAACTTCAGCGAACTGTTCAAGTGACGCAGCAGTTGTAGCACCATCATCATCGTCACCATCACCTCCTACAGATTCTCTCCCTCACACAAATCACATATCGTCTGCCATACGGACCGTTTCCTCCAGAGTCCTGCCTAGTGAGAGTGGAAGCAGCGGGACAGTGACTGTTAACTCTCCTGCTGTTGCCTCTGCTCCCACTGCTGGAGCTGGAGTTCAAACCAGTGTGAGTGCTGGTGCCACTGGTGCTGTTGGCGCCACTGGCTCTGGTTTGGGTAACGAGAACGGCAACATGGCCTCTTCTAATGGCACAAATGGTCCTCTGGTGTCTGCTCAGCCTGATCATATGTTGTCCCAACCTGCTGATCCGTCAGGTAGTCAGGCAGCCCCTGCTGTTGCACTGCACAGACCTCCAAACGTTTTGCCCAATGGAAGTGACCCTAAAGTTGCAGCGTTGCCCGCACAGGGTGTCAGTGCTGCTGCTGTCCCGGCCTCGACCGTGGCGTTTTCAAATGCGAATCCTAGTTTAGTGAAGGCCAGCCCACAAGCCCAGATTAAAACCATTGTCCCCAATCAGCTTGCTGGAAGCCCTGTGGGCCTGCATCCGTCTCCGCCCGCTCCGGTCACTGTACCTGCTAGCAGCATGCAGGCAAACGCCTCGCTTCCAGTGGCAAGCACTCCCTCAGTCCTAGTGAAGCCGGAAGGTGGCCTTGTTGGGCAGCCCACGGGCTTGTTGAGGCCTGGCACTGCGGCACCTGTGGTGGCTACCACGGCGGTGCCTCAGCGACCTGGAGTACCTGTAGCCCCAAGGGCCGTGGTGCCCCAGATCACTGTCAGACCCCAACAGCAGACCACTATTCAGTTACCTCCAGGATTCACCATACCACAGGGTAAGTGTACCAAGTCTGATACCTTTACAATTAAAAGAGGTTAAAGGAGCCTCATCTGAAGACTTGGTAACCTATTCAAAATAGCTTTTGGACTGCCTTGAAATATAATAAAGAACGGCACAATATCTCATGCTGTTCACAAATACATGTGCGGGTGTTTGGTTTTTCTGTATCTCGTTTTTTTTTTTTTAACCCTCAGTCCTTGAAGTGATGAGCATCTGTGTGTCTTTGAAAGCTTTACTGTCTTGAAATCATAAGAATATATATGAATATACACACATAATGTGTAAATTCATGTGTGGGTGAGCTAAACAAAAAATTATGTGACATTTTCAATTCTCTGACACAATCTGAACTTATGATGTACAAAAATACCCTTTATTATTGTTTTATTCTTATTATTCTTGTTACTGCTGTAAATGGTGGTAGTAACAGTGACAGTGGTAGTGGTAGTGGTAATGATAATGATGATGATAATAATAATAATAATAATAATAATAATAATAACCATAATAGTAACAATACATTCAAATTGGCTGCTGGTGTTTCCACCTTTAGCCACGCTACTGAGGCAACGTAATTATATCGACAAAATGGTAGACAACATATCATGGGCAACATCATACTGTTTTTCACTTCTAAATCTGTGTACCTCACAATCCTACAACACGTTTCTGTTTTTTTTCAATTGATTGAGCCTTACTTAACAGGCCAGTCTCTTTTGAAAAGTTACCAGGTCGTCTCTTCTTGCTTTCACTTTCATTATCAAAGCTCTGATGAAGCTGGTTGTGTTTCCTCTAGGAATGGTGCTGGTTCGGACAGAAGCTGGTCAGCTGGTGTTGGTTCCACAGCAGGTTTTGGCCCAGGCCAAGGCTCAGAATCAGAATAAACCTGCTCTGTCCCCCAGGCCGGCAACGCCAACCACAGCAGCCACCTTTAGAGTCACCACTCCAGTGGCTCAGGTACATGATGGTAGCATGTTATGAAGTCTTGCATAGCTAAGTAATGTGTATAGTAATGTGGGAGTAATGTGACTGATTTTCAAGACAAAAATCTGCTCTTAAGATATGCTAGAGTGCTTTAGTCCAGGACTAAGTTTTTTTAATGCATGGAAAGGTCTTTGCTTCCAGATGTAATTCTGTGGCATTCTCTCACTGTGCAGCCAGCAGTAACTTCCCCCACCATCCGCCCCATTCCCCCGGCCCAGATGAAGGTGGTACAGACAGCAAGCCCTGCCAGCCCTGCTCTTCAGGTACATGACTCAGTGAGACTGAATCTCTTCATTCTGCAAAATCATATTTTAAATATATTTTATTTAATTTTTTTTTCTTTTTTTTGCCTTGCTGTTTTATTTACACCAATTTTATTACTGTTTTTCTGTTTGATTTACATACACTGTAAACCTCCGTGCTGTATTTGTATGTGTGAAATGTGCTTATCTGTTTATATATATATTTATATGCCTGCTTATATATGATTTACAATAGTATCACAATATCAAATAAAAGAGCACTACATATATAAGAGAATACATGTGCATATGTTTGGTGTTCTGAATGTAATTTTATTAATTGTGATAATAGCAATTAGGACGTAATACCTTGTTATTGAATATCTGCATGTCTAATCAGTAGAACTTGTATATTTTTAAGTACAGGTGTTTAATAGCATTAGTGCAATATATTAGTTTTGTCTGAGATGACCTGCACTGCAGTAGTAGAATATTGAGTATTTGTGCTCAGGAGTATGTGGCCATAACTGATCCTTTCTTCTTCTGTCAGAAGAGTCCGGTGGTGACGGTCAGTTCTGCTCAAAAACCTGCTGGCCCCACAGTCATCACGGCTGGAGCTCGTGTCCAGACCCCTCCTCAGAATCTCCTGAAACCCTCCCCTCCTGTCCCAGCATCCACTGTCCCAGCCGCAGGAGCCACTGCCCTCTCTCCGGTACCCTACTGCTCTGTCCTCTCTGCAAGACTATTGTTTGCTCCATATATTCATAGCATTCAATATGGCTCACTGTTTAATAAGTGGTTCTCATGTAGTCATTAATTTTCCTTTAGTCTTTACGCTTCTGTAACTTATTTGTCTGACTTAAGGAAATGCAAGAGAATGTGAAGAAATGCAAGAACTTCCTAGCTACGCTGATCAAACTGGCATCTCATAATTCCCCCTCTCCGGAAACATCCCGGAATGTGAAGGCGCTGGTGCAAGACTTGCTGGTGAGAGTCATTGGCCTTTGGTGGGGCATAAACTGAAGCATCATAGTGCTGTTTGATGTTATGATTCATTAATATTTGGACTGTCGCTTAGCCTTATATAGACACCACAGTTTAGTTTTGACAATTACGTGTGTATATATATCCGATATTCCATAACTTTTCATCATATTTTGATTGCATTCTTTTGTTTTCCTCAGCATTTGAATAGGATCAGAGTAGTTTAAATGCACTCATCATTCTTTGGGGTTTTCTGGACTGGCTTCTTAGTAGATGAGAAACTTTTTAAAAATGCAGTTCTTATCCTGAACTGTAGATGTCAGCAATCAATTTCTTTTAGAATGTAGCCTCTTTCTCAGAAAATAAGTTGTAGTATAATAGTCTTATTGCAATGCACTTCCAATTAATTGCTCTGTTTAATTCTGGACAGGATGCCAAAATCGAGCCTGAGGAATTTACAAGTCGTCTGCAGACGGAGCTGAAGTCGTCTCCTCAGCCCTACCTCATCCCCTTCTTGAAGGTAGCGTCTCCTTCTCTTCTGCCTTCACAGAAGTGCTGCATTTCGAATTGAACTTGTGGGATTTAAGGAGTCCAACAGTCGTCTTATTGGTGTAACACAGTCAGAGAACCAGTCCAGACTATCATCAGTTATTTCTTCTGAAGTTGAAAGTGACAAGTTGTAGATATCGATACTTTCTTGATGCGACCAAATTATTTCAATCAATATTTATAATGTCAGCCGTAGTAATACTGATGGATGTCTTTGCAGTAGCATACTTATATGCGATATACTTTCATATAATACTTGTAAAATATTTTTGTCTTGTTTTAGCACCAAATTATCGCTTTTAAGAGGACAATAACAGTAACAGCCTGTATAAGTCTAAGTGGTAGACAGAGTTTGGAAAGTGGTTATATAAAAATGAATTATAAAT